TAGAGCTGGAACCCATTCTATTAAGTGAAGTATCCCAAACATGGAAAAATAAGCACCACATGTACTCACCAGCAAATTGGTATTAACGGATCAACACCTAAGTGAACATATAGGAATGACATCTATTGGGTGTCGGCAGGTGGGGGCGAGGGGATGGGCATATACATACATAATGAGTGTGATGTGCACCAACTGGGGGATGGACACGCTTGAAGCTGTGACTGGGGGGGACAAAGGGCAATATATGTAACCTTGACATTTGTACCCCCATAATATGCTGAAAAAAACCCAACAAGCAATTCACAAATGTCATTCTCTTGTCTTCCTGCCTATCTTGTTTCTCCAAGCTAGAGAGACTGACCTTGAATTACATGTGGTTAGCAACGTCTTCTGCTGTAAATCATCTGGGCAGGCAACCTACCCCAGGTAATGCAAGCTATCCAACCCTCAGCCCTTTCCTTTTGTTCCTTGGTGACCCACAACAGGTCATTAGAACCACTTCTGCTTACAGACTGCAGGGTAGTGTCTCCAAGGTTGGGCTGTGGCCCCAGATTAGATGATTTCAGCTGAACTGCAGCTGAAATGTGGGAATAGGAAAATGAAGCTTGATGTGTCCTACAGCAGATAACTTCAGTAGGAGGTCCCTTTCAGAGAAGGAAAAGTAGAAAGGAGAGTGGAAAGTATAGCGGCAGCTTTTTCCTTTTTTCTATACTGAATGAGCTTGCCACTCCCATGACAGTCATTTAAATTATGTGGTGGAAGTTATTTTTTTGAAAAGCATGAGCTTCAGGTTCAGGTGACAGGACTGGTGAAAGGACATCACTCCATCGCCACCCCCATGCCCTATACACACACACACCTGTTCAGAGCCCAGAAGCGTGATGTGCTGATGCATTACTAATGTGAGCCCTTAGTGTAACAGGGGGAATGCACAGCACACAGCTTTTGAAAGTACTTTTTGAAGACAGAAGAAAAGGAAACAGGCGGAGTTTACATAATTAAATGGGAAAAGCTGCTTCTGAAAGCTGGTTTTAAATGTTTTAAATTGGTTTGGAAACATTGCTTTGTTTTGGAGCCCAATTTCTTTTTCTCTTTGCCCATCATCTCAGGCTTTATCCAAACTTGCCCTTTGAGATGCAAAGAATTAACCTTTTCTCCCACACAAAACAGTCAATCACTTGAATTACTTTCCTCACAGTGACAGAGATTTTCAAAAATCACTCTGGATGCTGGCATTATTGCTGCCGCTGTTGCTACCAGCCCCTAATCCTTCATACACAGAAGTTTCTTTGCTAGCTAGCATTTATGCCCCTGGCCTCCTGGCTGCTACTGTGGAATGAAGAGAAATCTGAATTCTCCTGATCTGGAGGCTCTGGAAAATCAAACAGGGGAAAACAACGAATCAGGGATTAGAGAGGAATCCTGTTATGACACAATTCACCATCGTATGTGTTTGAATATGCTGCAAGCTAATCCACCTCCTTTACCCTACACTTAAATTATAATAGGAATCCTTTGATTTATTTAAAGACTCTAAAAATTATTTAAAACCTTGGTGAGTGAATAAAAATTAGAATATTCAGATGAGCAGGAAAAAACAAAAATCACTCATAAACCCCTCACATAGAAGCAACCTTTGTACATATTTTGAAGTATGTAAGACTTTGTCCCTTATATAAATATACACATTCACACACAAACAACATCACAATAATTGAATCATTGTATGCATGCTATTTTATTATTACTTTTTTATTTCAAAATATTATGGGGGCCCAAATGTTTTTGGTTACTTGGATCGCTTTTGTTAATGCATGCTGTTTTAAAAACTGCTCTTTTGGTCATTATTAAAGCATTTCTATCTTAATATACTTCAAATGCCATCTTTTAAACCAATGGCCCAGTATAGCACAATTGTACATTGTGCACAATTATATGAATGCTCCATATATTATTTAAACAGCACTTAATTGTTGGGCATTTTGGCTTTTTATGACTTTTTTCTTTACTGTAAATAATCTTATAATAAACATCATTTAAAAATATTTTCCTTGGCACTTGTCTAAATGTTTTATCTGGAAAAATTCCTAGAATTATGTTTCAAAAATACTTGCTAAGTTTTGAAATAAAGTATATTTCAGATATCTACTGCTATATAACAAACTACCCCAAAATTTAGTGGCTTAAAACAATAGTTATGTATTTTGCTCACAAATCTGCAGGTTTGGTAGGGTCCAAATAGTCTCTTCTCTGGCTTGTCTCTGTGCTTCGTGGTGTCAGTTGAGGAAGTTCGCCCAGGAAACGGAGGATTTGCTTTTGGGATGGCTCAAAGACCAGGTGGTGCTGACTGTCAGCTGGGAACTGAGCTGGTGCTGTGGACCAGGGTCTGCAGTTCCTCTCTATACGAGCCTCTAGGTGGACTGCTTGGGCTTCTTAGAGCATGGTGGCTGCATTCCCAAGAGGGAGAATACTAAGAGAACACGGCAGAAATGCGTGATATTTTTATGACCTACTCTTGAAAGTCCCAAAGTGTTTCTATCATTTATTGGTTGAGGCAGTCACAAAGACTGCTACCATGTTGAAGAGGAGGGGGCATTGACTTGACCTCTTGGTGGAGAACTGGCAATGTTTCAGAAGAGCCTGTCGGATGGGAGATATCGCTGCTACCTTTGGAAAATGTAAGCTGCCATAAAGTATAGTAAAGATTGGATGATTTAGGATTTTGAATTTTGAATTTTGAGGTAGACCACATACCTTTATGTGTTGTATTGATAGCAGTTTTCTTGATTATTATTGTTCATAAAGGAAAGGTAAAGATTTGTGGATTCACTCAGCGGTCAGTAAAACTGGAACATGGTCAAGGTTCACTCAGAGTCTTATGGATCAAGGAAAGTAAGAGTGACAAATCAAAACTCATTTGAGAAAGAGGCAGTCAAATGCCAATGAGAGCAATTGCAAATGCCATTTCTAAGGACTTTGGTGCACCATCAACCTCGGGATTAGAACAAAAAGTTCAGGTTTTATTCATTGGTCATGTGGATAATCAGAGGCCAGGTGAATAAAAATAGTCAAATTAAAGGGGAACTTGAAGTTTGTTACAGGCTTCAATATTATCAAAAAATTTTATTTGTTCAGGTCATCCAAGACACAAACAACCTCACATGTTAGTACATGTAAGTCTCAGGATACAGATACTGACATAGTCTTGATATCATTTAGACGCAGATGTCCTTCAAAAACTCTTAGAAAAGAAGTGAGGTAGTGCCAGAGAAACCATGGAGGAGGTGTGAATAGTTACTTCCTCTAGAGACTTGGCCATTCAGGAAACCACAGTCACATTCCAATTTTTTCCTTGAATGTCCAAATTTAACTATGGTATTCTATCTTCTTTTGGGTATCCCTCTTTACAAACCATTTTTCAACAAAACCATATGACTTATAGTTGATCACTGCAATAGACTATGCCATTAGGACAGTACCTTTGGTATTTTTCTTTTTCCCTTCCTATTGAAACTGCTCCAGAAAGCAATATAGAGAGCCTGTATGAATCAATAAGTGATTAAAACCACTTTGCATAGATTCAAAGTTCTTGTAAGAATGTAGACCTATCACTCTCTTCCTTTGTTAGTTTGAATTATTTTCAACAAAAAAGGAAACATTTGTCAGAGAGAGAAGAGTAGATTGTAACGTGCCTCAAAGACTGAATAGAAATACTTTTTCAAATGCACACATATTTTTAAAAAATGAACAGTCATGCACTTCTTTCTCTCTCGTGTACCCACACACACTCTCATTTAGTGGTAGGGAAACTTGGGGATTTTAATTTAACCTTGACAGTTTAAATTTGACTTTAATTAACTTCCTGCATGCAAATATGTAATGACATTTGCAAAAATCAAAGATGCCTTTGGAAATTTGAAGAGATTGATAAACCCAAGAATTTAAACTTGAGAAGTATCACAAGAATAGAAAAACAAACACCACATGTACTCGCCATTAAATTGGTACTAATTGATCAACACTGCTGTGCACATATGGAAGTAACATTCATAGGGTGTCAGGCAGGTGGGAGGGAGTAGGAGAGGATGGGTAAATTCATACCTAATGGATGTGATGGGTGCTGTCTGGGGGATGGGCACACTTGTAGCTCTGACTTGGGCTGTGCAAAGGCAATTTATGTAACCAAAGCGTTTGTACCCCTGTAATACTCTGAAATTAAAAAAATCCTGAAATGCTCCAAGGTTAATATGTGGAGTAGCAATTATTACCACTATTTGTTAGGCAGTGTTCATGTTAGATTTAGATTTCATCTTACTGTTTCTCAACCAGTGACAATATTATAACCCCCTCTCCTGGAGACATTTTTGGTTAACACAACTGTGTGAATGAGTGTGTGTGTATGTGCATACTACTGGCCAGAGATGCTGCTAAATACCCCACAACACTCTCCACCACAAAAATTATCCATCCCCAAATGCCAAAAGTGCTGAGGTTGAGGTAGTTTTGTTGAGTTCAGACATAAGAAGTATACTAGTGTTACTATTACGAAAGACCTTATCTCATCCATTGTTGTTAAGTCACCAAAATACAACTTAGCTATATCTAGATAATTTAATTTTTTTTAATGTTTCTCCTTTCATACCCGAATGGAGTCCTTTAACTTAGGGACGATAAAACAAAGGATTTAATTGAACAAAGCTATGCTAATCCAAAGGGTGAACTATTTACAGATTTTCTAAATAATTTACTTAGTCCTATCTGTAGGCACGACTCTTTTAAACTTCTGATTTCTTTTATTGGAATATGGTAAAATCTTTGATTCCTAGGGGCCATCCTTTCATTAGGTCCTTGCTATTCAGTTTTACATAGATGAAAATGTCTCTATTAGTGCATATAGGGTCACTAGATTCCCTATACATTTACTATTTAATTTTTAAAAATGAAATTTCTCTGCTTGCTTTATTTCATGCTGTTTTATTGATGTTTTCTTTTTTTTTTTTATCTCTTTGTGATTTCACATTTCTACATTACCTTATGTTTCTACATGAACAACCCTTCTTGAAGAGCTAAATGCCAATTGTCTAGGAGGAGTTTCTTCATCTTTGTGTTCAGTTCTTCTGCTGCCATTTTCTCAGAATTTGCAGTCATTTGTTGAAGACCAGTACTTGTTTGGCTATATGGATATTGGGTTAGTGACATCACTGAATAATATTTCTGGTCTTTAATTTTTTATTATAATTTATATTGTTCCAGAAAGAATTTGATGACGTTTACCAAAATACTTTTCAGGACTTTCTGACTATTTTGCTTAAACTGCCTAGCAGCTACACTGATTATACTCCAGATAGGTCCATGGGCAAGCTGTTTTCATCTTTGGGTAATGACACCCCTCAGTCTCACAATCTAGGGAAAGATTATTTGTCTAGCCCTTTAAAATTGAGGGGGAAAGAAACTGTATCTGGCAAAGTGCCAATAGGAAGTCTATTTCTCTCAAAATACCCTTTTTCTATCATCTTTTCCCATTATCCCAGAAACTAGGGAAAGAGCTATACTTAATATGTCAAACCTATGACTCCCCCTCAAATGACTGCTATTCTAGAAGTAAAATTATTTTTATCTCTTACATCTTTTAACTCTTTCTTGATCTGTTACAAGTGATTTGACTAATCAAGTATGGAAGTACTGGTTAAAATTTCTGGGTCATAGAAACTCAGAAAGATCAGTTATTACTGTGTAATGATAATTTGAATGGTTAAAATGGTAGAAAATCACTTACTCTTTTTTATCCTTGGAGACCTGGACTTTAGAGATGGGGCACTTGGCAAGACTCCCAGAACATTCACCCCATCACTCTGAGAAGAACAATGAGTGTGGACTACAGATCCTTTATTGAATTTAAAGGTCAGTGACATATTGTCCTCTTGCAATTGAGGGCTTAGCTCTAAAATCACTCCTGCAAGCATTTTCTCATTTAAAAATCTCCTTTATGAAAAACTTTCCATTGGCTCTAATCAGAAATTTAATTTATTCAGAGATAAGTCAAAAGAAGATCTTAACTTCTCTGACATGAGGGATCTGAAAAATTAAGAGTGAGCAAGATAAATATCAGAGCATCAGCACTGCACACATTTCCTAATGGATAATATCTTTGCTTTTGTTATTTTAATTTTCTCTGCATGGAGTCAGATAGCCTATGTGCCTTCAATAATGATGATGCAGAGTTGCTAGCTTTATAGGCCTCATGAGAAAGGCCTAACATAATTTTAAAATTTCATTTGGGTCCAAAGGGAAGATAGACTCTCATTCATTCATTCATGCATTCATGAAAGCCTACTATGTAAAGAGAAGCTGTGGTAGTTTCTGGGTATGAAAAGAACAAGACAAAAATATAATTGGGAATGCATGACCTAGTAAAGAAAAAAATAAATGTAGACTATAAGAACAATAGAATATAATAGATTACACAAAGAAAGAACTGATGATGAATGCTTTTCAGGTGGTTTTGGGAAGCCTTCACAGAGGAGGCCCTGGAGCTGGGTTCTAAGGAATGAGTAGGACATTATCAGGCAGATAAGGTGGGAAAAAGGCATTCAAAGCAGATAAAAATGCATGTGTGAAAAAAGACAGATGAGAAACAACAGGGTGCTTCCTGAGAACAATATGGTATGACTTTCATCCAGGGAATCAGCTTTGGATAAGGTTGGAAAAGCAAATGAGCCAGATATGTGCTATGTTCAGGAACACAGGCTTTATTTTACAGATGACATATTCTTTCTGTGTCACATTGGGAATTTAGAATTATTTCTTCTCTCTTTCAGAATGTACTTTTCAGATATGTACTTTCAGAAACTTGCTGGTTTTCTAGCAAGTGCAGGGAGGTATGATGTAAGGTGACGGAGGGCATAAGGAGAAAAAAAAAAGACATTTTTTCCCTTATAGAAAATATTAGGCACATTGCCTTTGCCAGCCTCTAAGGAGATAAAGGAATGGAATGCAAGAGGGGAACGTTCATTTCTTATCCCTCCTGATAAGAGGACTCTGGAGTTGTAGGATATGACTGATGCAGGGGTTTCAGGGACTGTTTGATAAGACTTCATTACAGTGGCTGTTCTGGCCCACTTACTCTACTCCCCTTGGAAAAACCCTCTAGAAAACCCAAGGCTCTCCCCTTCCTCACATGGATGCTCTTTTTGGCCTCCACCCATCTATACACAGATGTTCAAATAAACAGCATTTTGCTACACCTGAGGCTTTGTGTGTCTCCTGCTCAGCTCTGGACCTAACAGAAACAAGAAAAAGAAAACAGAGAATAGAGATGATGAACAGAGAATAGAGATGAACTATGATGAGGCTATTATTAGTGGTTAAGTGAGGGGAATATGCCTGCAGAACACATCAGTTCTCCTGAACAACCCCTTCTTATGTGGTAGTGTGAAAGATGAGTTGAAAGAAATCAGGAAAGGCAAGTTAGTGAATACTTGGGAGAAGAAACATTTTCACCCATAACTCCAAATCTATGTACTATGATGGTTTGAATATGAGGCCAGAGATAATTGGAAATCTAATAACTCTGGAGTGATGTCAGCAAAACGTCAGAATAGGGATTTTTCTGCCATTAGTTCCCCACAGCGCACTGCTTTTGACAATCACCCATGGAACAGAGTACCTTTGTAGAAGTCTGGGAGTCTAGCAGAGAAGTTACAGCACACTGTTGGAGCAAATATTCAGAGAATAAATGCATTTAAAAGGGTAAGAAAAACAGTTTTTACTTTACCTACATCACCCTTCCCCCAGGGTTGTACAGCTCAGTGCCCAGAGAGACCTCCTCAGCTCATAATTCTTCCTTAGCCCATAAAGTGAGAATGTAGTGCAGAATACTGCCCAGGAGGCTCACGTCTTTCTTGTCCCACCAAGAATACTGGGCGGATTCGCTTGGCTGAGTTGCTAGGAGAGGCTAGGAGCAGTGAAGAGAGGTGGGGACTCACAGCAACTAGGCCTCAAAGTTGATAAAGGCTGTATATCCTACTAACTGCTTCTTGAGTTTTATAGGGAGACTTGCCCATGAGCCAGTTGGGATGCCTTACCTGCAGACCACCCCCAACTCTTGCACAAGAGCTCCCAATGCTCCATACAACTCTCCCCTATAATTGACTCCCTGAACATACCCCTCCCAAATTGCAAGTGGAAGTCTTTGTAGATGGTTTACAAGAATGTGCAGTCAGCCAGCTTGATTCAGCAGGATTGGGAAAAGATACAAAAATTTGAGCTGTCACGGCACCACCCAAAGGAAAACAAATTGGAGACTTTCAAAACCCAGCCTGGATTTGTGACATTGAGAGAATGCATATGATCTTAAGATTCCCTTCCACCCCCAAAGAGTGAACAACAGTAGAGTGGGCACATCCATAGAAAATGTTCTAAGAGAGCCTCAGAATCACTAGCTGGGCTGACTGGTGAAGATATTTCTTTCCTAAAGCCAGCCAGTAAAGACTGGAGGAGGTTATGACTTCTCCAGATGTGAAGACAGCAATGCAAGACTTCAAGGAACATGAAAAACCGAGGGAACATGACAACATCAAAGGAACACAGTAATTTTCCAATAACTGGCACCAATGAAATGAAGTTATTCCATTCAAAGAATTCAAAATAATTGTTTTAAGAAAGCTCAGCAAGCTAAAAGAGAATACAAATATACAACTCAATGAAAACAGGAAAACAGCACATAAAGAAAATGAGAAGTTCAACAAATTACCACAAACAGTGCCTTACCAAGGGTGGGGCAGGACAGGTCCTGTCCTAGAGCAGCAATGAGGGGATGCATTGTCTCTATAAAGTTGAAAAATAACAAAACCGACTACAGTTTGGTCTGATTTGTATGACAATCATGGTCACTATAGTTAATAATAATGTATCTTATACCTAAAATTTGCTAAGAGAGTTGATCTCAAGTGTTCTCACCAAAAGAATAAAAAGGGTATCTTTGTGAGGTGAGGGATGTGTTAATTAGCTTGATTTTAGTAACCATTTCATAATGTATATCAAATCATCACTTTTTTACACTTTAAATATATATAAATTTTATTTCTCAACAATACCTTAATGAAGCTGGAAAAAATATCCAACTCCAATCAGAGTTCTGACACCTGATATTTCCTTTGGTTGTTTCCACAACCATTCAAAACTGACTTGGGTAAGGATGAGGAGTACCTAGGACAGAACATAAATGAGATAATTTTCCAGTTATTGAGATAAAAATAAATAGCAAAGGGAGGGTTTATGTGTGTGCATGTGTGTGTGTGCATGTTTGTGTGAATATATAAGTAAACACACATGTTTATATCTCAATACACAAACAGTTGTACATCTTCATAACATAACTTTACATAATCCCCACATATCCAGAGTATGCATTGACTCATAGATTTTCATCAGTTTTCTAAAAAAAATTGTAGATGATTTGTTTCTATAGAGGAAGACCGACAAAAAGGCAGAGAAGAAAAAGGGCTTGGGAATAGAGAAGTCATGTCCGGCATTTATTTGGTACATTGACTTTCATAAGATCTTATTCTATGGACAACACAGAGAGAACCCATGGATTCTTAGCCTAGCTTCAGGATATTCATGCTATTTTTGGTAGAGTTAAACCATGAGACATGACATTTTACTATATATGGGCTAGAGTTGTTTGTCTTTGGAAATTGATGTCAAGAGGGTAATAAAAGGAGAGAAGTTTGGTGAAGGGCGTAGTGAAAGGGGATTCATGAAGCCTGTGCATTATTTTCTGCTGTGTTCTGCACTTGCTGTGTGACCTCAATTAAGCTAATTAAGTCCCTGCCTGATTTTCCCTATTTGGAGTAGAGGTAAGCAGTTGAAAGGATTCCTATGTTTTAGGAGTTTTAAATCAATTGAACTTCTCAGGTTAAAGGTGACAAATAAGTTTTTAGACCTTTATTATTTTCTACCAAAAATCATCTGTCTTCAATTTCATTGACCAGACCAAACCAGCTTGCTCATTTGTAGCAAGCTCCCTCTTTTGCAATCTCCCCAGTCTTGTTTAAGATAAATGGCTCCTGAGCTGTTGCCCCCAAACCTTTCTCACCTCTAATTCCTGTACTTTCCAAAGTTACTCAGCCTTTCTTAAAGGGGTTCTTGGCTTATGATGGTAGTGGTGGCAGAACAGGGGTAGTTTTATCCATCACAACGTTTTGAATAGATTCATTTTCTATTCCTCTAAGTATTTCTTTTTTTCAATTAAAAAACCCTGTAACTTATCCTTGCTCCTTCCATTTCTCAAATCCTTTTATTCATTACTTGATTAGCAAAATAAGAGGCTCTGAGGACCACCTGGCAGACATGGAATATTTTTCTGAAAGGAGGAGTATTGAGAGGCTGTGAGGAAGAAGGCTTGGGAATACTCACAAACAGTGCCTTACCAAGGGCAGGGCAGGACCGGTCCTGTCCTAGAGCAGCAATGAGGGGATGCATCATCTCTATAAAGTTGAAAAACATAACAAAACTGACTACAGTTTGGTCTGATTTGTATGACAATCATGAATAGACAATTCTAAACAATTTCAGTGGTAAAATACTCATCTCCATCCTTTGTATACCACTGCCGACAAAATACCTCATTCAGGCTCCTGTCCCACGTTGTTATTTCTTGCCTTTGTTACATTAAGTGACCTCTCCTCTTGGATCTTGTGTTTTTCTTCTGCCACTTGATTCTGAACCAATTTTGTCTGCCAGGTTCCCTCTGTGAAAGAGGTAGCTGTGTAGTGGTAGGACACATTTCAAATAACATGAAATTTCTACCCATAAAAACAACAATGACAACAACAAAACAATTGGTTTGTGATGGAAAAAGAAACAGAAGTGAGCCTTGCTATCATTCACACCATCTAGGATCAATGACACTTTGCTAGTATTGTTAAATAGTCAATTCTCATATACAAATGGGTTCTCTCTATTGGCTGTTGCTGAGTTCAATGATAACAATTGTTTGCCTTAACTAGAATTGTACTTAGTTCTTAGAAAATGAATGACTTTTCACAAGCTTCTTGGGCCATTTTGCCTTTAGAATGTTCCTTTGCAAAAAGAACATCCCAATAGTCAATTTTTATGCAGCCAGGCACCAATCCAACTTGTGTTGCTTAAGTGATTATGTACATGGAGAAGATAGCCAGAACAATTAATTCTTGTTTTTGTTTAACTTCCAGACTGATTACCTGGAAGATAAATATTGACTAAAGCAAGGACTTATTGCCTTCATGTTTTAATTTGTATAACCAGTATAACCTTTAAATCCACCTCACTAACTTCCATGAAGCCTTGGTGTGACTTCCTTTATTCCTGTTTACAATCTGCTTTCCAGTTAATGATGTAACTGCATTCAGTGTTTATCTACACACTGGCTCTGTAGGCATTGGAAAGCCAAGACTAAGGCTTTTGGGAACCTTCTCCACCAACAGAGATGAAACAAGATTGAGATATCAGGGAAGAGGTTGACTATATTGGTGAGGCAGGACTTGATCTGTTTGTTCTTGAACTGGGGAATCCACACAACCCAAGTTCCAGTCCCAGACACTATTTTAGTCAAGCATACCTAAGACTTACTGAGAATAAGGAATAACAACCTCAGAAGGCAACTTAAAGGCCATCTCTTCCAATCCCTTGCTAGATACTTGAATCCCTTGTCCCTCCCTCCCCATCTTTTTAAAACCATTTTAACCACTTAAAATTATTTTTTACTGATACACAAAATTATATATATTTATGGAGTACGGTGTGATATTTCAACATGTGTATACCATATGTAATGATCAAATCAAGGTAATTAGTATATCTATCACCTCATTTATCATTTCTTTGTGTTTGGAACGTTCAAAATGCTCTCTTTCAGCTATTTGAAAATATACAGTATATTGTTAACTATAGTTACCCTACAGTGCTATAGAACACTAGAACTTATTTTTCTTATTGAGCTGTAATTTTGTATTTGTTAACTAACCTCTTCTCTTACTCCCTTTCTCCTACCTTTCCCAGTCTCTTGTGACCACTATTCTACTCTTTACTTCAATGAGATCAACTTTTTTTTAGCTTCCATATATGAGTGAGAATATTTGGTATTTATCTTTCTTTCTTTTTTTTAATTTCAGCATATTACAGGGGAACAAATGTTTAAGTTACATATATTGCCTTTTCCCCACAAGAGTCAGAACTTCAAGCATGCCCATCCCCCAGACTGGGTGCCTTGCCGCCATTAGGTGTGAATATACCATCCCCACTTCCCCTTCCCAACCTGCCTGACACACGATCAATGTTACTACTATATGTGCACATAAGTGTTGATCAGTTAATACTAATTTGATGGTGAGTACATGTGGTGCTTGTTTTTCCATTCTGTGATACTTCACTTAGTAGAATGGGCTCCAGCTCTATCTAGAGTTCCAGCTATCTAGGGCTCCAGCTCTATCTAGGGCTCCAGCTCTATCTAGGTGTTAGATCGCCATTGTTTTTTGTGGCTGAGTAGAACTCCATGGTATATACATATACCACATTTTATTAATCCACTCATGTATTGATGGGCACTTGGGTTGTTTCCACATCTTTGCAATTGTGAATTATGTTGCTATAAACATTCTAGTGCACATGTCTTTTTTATAGAATGTCTTTTTTCCCTTTGGGTAGATGCCCAGTAATGGGATTGCTGGATCAACTGGTGGTTCTACTTTTAGCTCTTTGAGATATCTCCATATTACTTTCCATAGAGGTAGTACTAGTTTGCAGTCCCAACAGAGTGTATGAGTATTCCTATCTCTCCACATCCATGCCAACATTTATTGTTTTGAGACTTTTTGATAAAAGCCAGTATCACTGGAGTTAAGTGATATCTCATTGTGGTTTTGATTTATATTTCCCTGATGATTAGAGATTTTGAGCATTTTTTCATATGTTTCTTGGCCATTAGTCTATCTTCTTTTGAAAAGTTTCTGTTCATGTCCTTTGTCCACTTTTTTGGTAGGGTTGTTTGATTTTTTCTTGGTGATTTTCCTGAGTTATATATAGTTTCTAGTTATTAACCTTTATCAGATGTGTAGCATGTGGATATTTTCTCCCATTCTATAGGCTGTTTGCTTTTGTGATAGTTTCCTTGGCTGTGCAGGAGCTTTTTAATTTGATCAGGTCCCATTTATTTATTTTTGTTGTTGCTGTGATTGCCTTTTGGGTCTTCTTCATAAATTCTTTCTCTAGGTCAATGTGTATAAGAGTTTTTCCAACATTTTCTTCTAGAATTCTTATGGTTTCATGCCTTAGGTTTAAGTCTGTTATCCACTGTGATTTGATGTTTGTAAGAGGTGAAATGTGTAGATCCTGTTTCAGTCTTCTCCATGTGGCTATCCAATTTTCTCAGCACCATTTATTGAACAAGAATTCTTGTCCCTAGTACATATTTTTTTTTTTTGCTATGTCAAAGATTAGATGGCTATATGAGGATGGTTTTATATCTGGGTTCTCAGTTCTGTTCCATTGGTCTATGTCTCTGTTCTTGTGCCTGTACAATGCTATTTTAGTTACTATAGCCTTGTAATATAGCTTGAAGTCTGGTGAATGGATGCCTCTCACTTTGTTCTTTTTGATTAAGATTACTTTTGCTATATGGGGTCTTCTTTCATTCCATATGAAGTGTAGGATTATTTTGTCTAGATCTGTGAAAAATGATGTTGGTATTTTCATAGGGATTGCATTGAATCCGTAGATCCTTTTGGGTAGTATAGACATTTTAACAATGTTGATTCTGCTGACCCATGAGCATGGTATGGTTTTCCATCTGTTTACACCCTCAGCTATTTCCTTCTTTAGTGTTTCATA